TGTCCACGCCGCCGCGGCCTGTGTCCATTCGAGGCAGAAGGCCGCCTGCCCAACAGCGGCCGCTGATGGTTTGGGACAACATTTGTTGTTGGGCATCGTACCCATCTCCGTACCCATTTCGGGCGTCCAAACTCTCGATGACGAACAAACTGCGCAAACATAAACGTTCGGTGCCTCCGCGCGGATCTCTTGGATCGGCGCGGAGCCGCCCCTGGCGCGCTCCGCGCGTCAGGAACGGGGGTCCAGCGCCGATCGAGAAATCCTTGCGAGGCTCCGATTTGATGATGATGATGACGATGATGATGACGATGATGATGATGATGATGATGATGATGATGATGATGATGATGATGATGATGATCGTCATCATGATCATGATCATGATCATGATGATGATGCTGCTGATGATGATGATGATGAAAGTTTTGCTTATACGAAAGTGTGGGCCAAATCTGCCAAGCGCTCCAGCTGACTATCACAGCACTGGCGTGCCGATTGGAATTGAAGGCGAAGTCGTCGCTTTCTTCGCCCACGTGGTCAATCGACAGCATCCTCGTTATCATCAGCATCATCGTCACTATCACCCCTCTGCATAACCCATTTCGTTAAGGTCGCCACACCGCTGATGCCCCTTCAAAGATCAGTATCGCTATTGTCATCCCAGCGGGAGGCGCCAGTTGGACAAGGACTTGCGAGAGGCCACCGGAGATGAGAACTACGGCGTGCCCAACACCTTGCTGCAGAAGATCGCGCAGGCCACAACAGACGACGACAACTGCGACAGGGTGCTCGACTTCATCTGGGAGGCGCTCAGGGAGAAGAACGACAAGAAGTGGAGGCGCGTCCAGAAGGCGCTCACCCTCCTGGAAGCCTGCATGAAGTTTGGCAGCGAGAGGTGCACCGAGGGCGTCAAGAGCAACCTGTGGCAGGTGAACAAGTGGCGGGAGCATCGCGTCATGGAGGGCGGAAAAGACCAGGGCGGAGGGATCCGGCTCAAGGCGGAGACGGTATCGGAGCTCTGCTGCGACGAAGCCAGGCTGCGCCAGGAGCGAGACAAGGCCAGTGGGCAGCCCGGTGTGTTGTTGCTTCTCTCTCGACGAGGGGGAGCTCGCCCGCCCCGCCTCAAAGACAATGTTTCTTGCCACGGGGGTGCGCGGCTCGGAGTACTAAAGACTGCGTAAGCATACAGTCAAGGCGCTAAGATAAGGAACAGTTCGGTTGGGAAGGGGCTCGCTGTTCCTTGGTAATTCCAGGGTTGCTGCAACGCGCAGACCCAGAGATCCGACGCTCCGGGAAAATTGGAGCGGCCTGTTTTGGGCCGCTTTCTGCTTCAATGGGGGCCTCGCCGGGCCTCGGGACGTCAAAAAAGATTCAGACCGACAAACCGGCACTAGGGAAGTGGTCCAGACCCCACGCATCGAAAAAATTGGAGCGGCCAGATGTTTGGGCGGGGATGGAGGGGGCGGGCTTCTTAGGAGCAGTCCGCTTCTCAGAAGGGACGGGCCTTATCTATGGATGTAGCGCCGGCGCTTTCTAAGAAGCAGCCTCATTTGAGAAGCCTTCCCCGCTCACTCCACCCCTTTGTGCGCGCCGCCAAGAAAGTGGCCAGGCAGGCCTAGAATGAGGATGCATCGCTCCAGAGCGTCCTGGGACGCTCTCAGAGCGTTCTGGGGGACGCTCTGGAATGTCTGCGGCGTGTCTCTCTTAGATTCCCAGCGTGTCCACTCACGAGTTTGAGTGCACTTGACCTGTCTTCTTCTCAAGGGGGGCAGGGGAGCAGCTTGCCCCTCTTTCAGCCGTGACCCTCCTGCTGCCCCTCAAATCGCGCGACCCAGTACGCGATTCGATTTGACCCCGGTCCCAGACCGATCCGGCCTCCCACCGTCCGATCTCCCAGCGGTCCGCCGCAATCTGGTTGCGGCGATGCGGTGGAAATTTTATGATTCGGTTCGGCCTTGCGCTTGAAGGGAACTACGACGACGACGACGCCGCCGCCGACGCCGACGCCGACGCCGACGCCGACGCCGACGCCGACACCGACGCCCACGACCACGACCACGACCACGACCACGAGGACGAGGACGAAGACGACGCCGACGCCGATGCCGGCGCTCCCAGGGCGTTTCGGAGCGCCGCGCCGCGGCGCCCGAGGCATCCTCCAGAACCCGCTGGACCTCCGAGATCCCCGCTCTGTCCCTGTCCGACTGCGAAGGCCTTGCGGCCGGTGCCGCCGACCCTGGAGGGGGACGACGACGACGACGACGACGACGACGACGACGACGACGACGACGACGACGACGACGACGACGGCGACGACGACGACGACGACGACGACGACGACGACGGCGACGGCGACGGCGACGGCGACGGCGACGGCGACGACGACGACGACGACGACGACGACGACGACGACGACGACGGCGACGGCGACGACGACGACGACGACGACTACGGCGACTGTCCGTGTCCGATGTTGCCCCAGTGGTGGCTTCGTCCTCAGCGGGGTGAGTGGGGAAGCGCGCGAGCGGCGTGCGCGCCCGGACATCGCCGCGATGTTTTTCCGCAGCGCATGGGCGACGCAGAAAACGGGCTCGTCTTCACCGACACTGGCGCGTAAGTTGCCTGCGTGAGGTCGCGCGTGAGCGCCCTCGTTCCTCGGGCCCGACGAACGTGGGGGATTGAGAAAGGGGAGGTTACGACATCTGCTGCATGCAGCTGGTTTCGGCCCCGCCGCCTGACCCATTCCTCGATACATGAGCGCCTCCCGGCGCCAGGAGGCGCTGGGAAAATCTGCTACGTGAGCTGATTCTCAAACCCCCCCTTTGCTATCCCCCCCTTTCGCCCGGCCCGAGTTTTCAATGTGGCGTGCCGCGCTGGCGGCCCGCGCAAGCCTCCGCGCAGGGTCGCTGCGCCATCTCGCGCAGGACCCGTTTCTGTGCGCCGCTCGCGTGGCTCCCCGGGCGCACCTCTTCTGGGACTGGCGTTCCGCTTTTGGGAGGATAGCGGTCTCCGACGGTATCTCCCGGGCCCCGGCGAGGGCCGCCCGAGCAGGAGATCAACATTCCGACCTGATGCGGCCCTTCTCCCGCGGGGGCTCGGCATCGCTCGGACGTGTGCCTTTTGTTTTCGACGAGGGCCCTCGAGGAGCATATCGGATCAACTTACGCAAAAAATGCACGCTCGAAGCCAAACAGTGCACGGGGAATGCACGTCCGAGCGATGGCCAGGGAGGGGGGTTCTTTCATCCCGGGTAGGGCGTTTGACCGCCCCGGGGCCCAGCAACGGGGTCCAGGAGCCGAAATCGAGGCAAAACGCTGGAAACAACTGGAAGTTTGGCAAGAGCTCTGCCCAGTTATGCCCAGATCATTGGATGCCAGACTTTGCCTGCCACGATCCTTAACGACCGATTGGCATTCCAAATCCGTCGCAACCGATCGATTGCAACCAATTTTGAGGCAAATCGGTCGCCACCAATATCCCGGCTTGAGGTAAAATCGATAGCGTCGGGTGGGTGGTAATGGGGGGGTGACCCAAATGGGCGGTAAAGAAAAGACCCTGAAGGGGTCCTTTAGGGCCCCTTCAGGGCACCAACTGGTTCCAACAGGGCTCCTGAAGGGCCCCTTTAGGGCACTTTTCTTCACCCCCCATGTGGCCGCCCGATAGCGACCGATCTCGTCGGTCGCGACCAGAGAACTCGAGCATCTAATGATCAGGGCCCGCGGGGGGCTCGTTTCGGGGCAGGGTCCCTCAAAGGTCGATCTGGCATCGGGAACTTGGCAGGATGTCCCCCTCTTCTCAGGGGCAACGCTAAGGGGGGATAGGCAGAATTGCGGGGGGATGTATTGAACCCCCAATCGCCCATTGATCGCCGATACGAGCCCGATAGCCCCCACCCGCCCAGGAAGGTGCGGTTTTGCTATCAGAGGCCTATCGCCGATCTATCGGCGATGTATCGCCGATTCCAGGTCGATGCATCCCCTCCTATGCGAGTCCACCCCTATCGTTGCCCCTCATCTTCGTCCTCTCATTCCATCCCTCCTCATAAACTACTTGAGCATCTGATGTTCAGGGCACAGGGGCTCGTTTTGGGGCCCGGGTCCCTCAGAGGTCGATCTGGCATGGGGAACTTGCCAGGATGGACCCTCTTCGTCCTCTCATGAGTTCCATCCCTCCGCACAAGCTATCGGGGAAACGTAAGACTCGAGTACGCCGGAACTCGGGTTTGCCGACGCTTTTCGACGAGCGCGTCCTGAATTTTGACTGTCCGGTTTTCGTGGGAGATTTGCAGCAGGAGCTCGCGTCAAATTTCAGGTTGGGCTTTGTCATTTCTATGATGGCCCCGTCGGGCCAACCCGAGACCCCCGAGCCCGAGTCTTACGTCTCTCTCCCCGATGATCCCATCCCTCCGCGCAAATCACTCTTCTGTCGTGCCACCAGGCGTGTCCGCAGGCTGGCCAGGACGGCTCCCTGAGACCACGCTGCCAACAAACATGCGACATCGCGAAGCATCGCGGCCGTCAGCCCTGCCCCCTCCTTCTCGGCCACTTCCTGGTCTCGGCCTGAGTTGCGGCGTAGGCCTGTTTACGCTGGGTAATTTAGGACCTCGCGCGGCCCGCTCGGACCTTGACACGCCGTCGGCGCACTCGCCTGCGGCTGGTATCAAAAGAAGCATCGCGGCCAGAGCCCCAGGCTTCATCTTTCTGGATCATCGCGCCGGAGCGACCCGTGAAGGGCCCATGGGCCCGAATCGGGAGCCTTGAGACGGGGGTCAGTGCAAACGGGGGTCAGCCAGGGCACTGGATCCTGCAGGATCCTGCGAAGACCCCCTCTGGCTGACCCGGGTTAGCGAGCCGCTCGTGGCCGCGAGGCGGCCGCGCATATCGGCTGACCCGGGTTTGCGAAGACCTGCGATGCAGTTTTTCTTCCTGCATTGCAGTTTGTTGGTTTCCTGCTGACCCGGGTTTGGATTGACCCGGGCCAGAAGATTCCCGACCGAAGGCGGGCGGAAAAGCTGGCCGGGCGTGGAACACATTGCGACGCCATTAAGATTCGGGGATGGACAGACCTCCTACCCTGACACGTCGATTAGTGAATTGTCCGTTTTCGGTTCTCGAGAGGGCGCCGCGGCCGTCATTTTCCAGGCTTGCGCCCGCCAGGTTTGGGCCCGAGGTCGTTTTCACTAAACCACGTTTTACTAAAGGGAGGTCTGTCCATCCCCGAGAGATGACCGCGGCGGCTGGCAAAGGGAGTCGGAGGGGTTAGAACTTGATAACAGGTTGGGTTATATATGTGGGCTAGCCTGGCGTATAAGTGGGTAGCAGGTGCCCCACATGGTTTTGCGGCGTCAGCGATCCAGGCTAAGTGGGCTTCGCCCCCGACGAGCTGGACTAGGCCAGATATAACCCACCTTAGAGTTCGTTCCTGCGACCCCCTATTCCCGTAGCGCTACCGATACCGCCACTCCCTGGACACTTCATGGGGCGCGATCTGACCAGGATTTCGCGACGAATCCAGCCGTGACGATGAGGGCCTCCGAGGAGGCCCTTGAGGGGCGAAAACGAGGGGCTCTCCGATGAGGCCCCTTAGCAACCCCAGCGGTCGTCTCAGCAGGATCAGAGGGTTCTAGGTCTCACAGATAGGGTCGGGGCAGATGGGGTCGTAGGATCGCGCCGCACCGCCGATGCATCGGCGATGCGCCTCGATGTGGGGCCCAAGTTGTTCCACGCCGACGTCGCCGATGCATCGCTGACGTCGCCAGTGCATGGCCGATGCATCGCCGATGCATCGGCGATGTATCGGCGATGCATCGGCGGTGCGGCGCGATCCTGCGGCCCCATCTGCTCCGACCCCATCCAGGGTTAAGTCGGGCACGTCCTTCAGCAGGAGGAAAATTCAAAAGCAGTCAAAAAAAAAGTCTGGGGGCGATCATTCGATTATGTTATGTGTTTCTGCATGTTTTGAAGATGTTTGATTTTTTCCGCCCACAATCCTCCTGTGGGAGGACACGCCCGACCTGAATCTATAGGGGCTAAACGTGGTATTAACATGGTTCGGCCTCTCCGCTCCAAGCGCACAAGCACTCCAGCGTGAAGCAAACATCGTCTCGATTGGAACCGGCGCCTTCGCGGCTAAACGTGATATCAACATGGTGTGGTGACGTTAACTTCGCCGGCCACCCGAGCAACACAACAAAAAAACTGACTATATCTATAGGGGGGCCTCCGAGGGTGCTTCGGGGGTCGGGCCTGGCGGAGTCGCCTCGCCTTCCCCTGTGCTGCCGGCGCAGGCGGCGGCCCTCGCCGGGAAGATCACGCACGTGGCCGGTCAGGCGCCGGCCGCGCCCGCGCGGGAGGCGAGGCGGCCCTTCGGACGGCGCAGCAAGGCGGGGGGGGGGGCTCAGGCAGCAGAGCACGGCCTCCTCCTCCTCCTCCTCCTCCTCCTCCTCCTCCTCCTCCTCCTCCTCCTCCTCCTCCTCCTGTTCCTACTCCTCCTCCTCCTCCCTCCTCCTCCTCCTCCTCCTCCTCCGCCTCCTCCTCCTCCTCCTCCTCCTCCTCCTCCTCCTCCTCCTCCTCAGGGGGCGCGCCCACTGCCCGCGCCCCTCGGGGGCCAACGCTTCGTTGGGGGGGGGCTGCGGCAGCAGAGCACGGCCTCCTCCTGCTCCTCCTCCTGCTCCTCCTCCTCCTCCTCCGCCTTCTCCTCCTCCTCCTCCTCCTCCTCCTCCTCCTGCTCCTGCTCCTGCTCCTCCTCCTCCTCCTCCTCCTCCTCCTCCTCCTCATCCTGCTCCTGCTCCTCCTCCTCCTGCTCCTCCTCCTCGACGCCTCGCAGCCCTTCCCCCCTCCTCCCCTCGCGCGGCCGCCCTCGACTTCGTTCCTTCCTCTTGCACGCGGGACACTTCGGCCGGCGCAGCAAGGCGGGGGGGGGGGCTTCGGCAGCAGATCACGGGAGCCCTTAGTTGCCCTGATACGCCCGTTTTGAAACGCAACGCGTGCCGTGTTCAAAAAATCCGTGTCAACCCGTTGCATTTTGGCTCAGCGTGTTGGCACACGTTTTGGCGAAGTGTCACGCCGAACGTACATGTTCAATCTCCCGTGTTGAGCTCCGTGTCAACGCGCTACATGTTGCGTGCTGCGTATCGGGGCAGCTAGGCGGGAGCCTTTTGTGTGCACTCGCAGCCCTTCACCCCTCCTCCCCTCGCGCGGCCGCCCTCGTCTTCGTTCCTTCCCCTTGCGCGCCAGACACTTCGCCTATCGGTTGCCCCGATTCGCCCCACGCTGGTGCGGACTGCCTCTGCCTCGCCGCCGACGAAAAAAAGTGACCTCGCAACTCCGTCTTTAAAGTGCACTGGCGTCGATCAGCGTCGGGTATTCGATGGGATGGCGCAGATGTAGCGTCAACTAGCGTCGATTAGCATCGATTTAGCGTCGACTGGCGTCGACTAGCGTCGAATTAACGTCGACTAGCGTCGACTAGCGTCAATTAGCGTCAATTTAGCGTCGACTAGCGTCGGCTAGCGTCGACCAGCGTCAATTAGCGTCAAGTTATTGTCGACTAGCGTCGCCTAGCGTCGGTTAGCGTCGAAATCGCAAGAGCCAGGAAGATGACATTGAGAGGCCCCCAACGAGTTGCCAACCCGAAGAGGGGGGGAAGGGCGCCATATGCACGACGATTAATCACCAGGAAAGCATACACAGGCAAAAGGAAGCGCTGACTCTCGTAACAAATACTGGGAGCCCTGGGAAACAGAGGGAAAGATGAGAACCCAAGAGATGCGCAATCATACTGCAAATCCTGGGTGTCGATTTGTTTGTGTCTCCCCGCGCCCTGTATATCCAGCTGCCTGCGGAAAGCCTCTCCACCGTGCCAGGCCAAGCATTCTGGGTGGCGACTGTTCGACATTCACGGGATGCCGTCACGCGTGGCACCTCGTGTCTTCAGCCCTGGGGGAGCCGTGATGATGATGATGATGAGGAGGAGGAGGATGAGGAGGATTATGACGACGGTGCGGATGATGATGATGATGATGATGATGATGATGATGATGATGATGTTGATGATGATGATGATGATGATGATGATGATGATGATGGCGGTGGTGGTGGTGATGATGATGATGATGTTGTTGTTGTTGCTGCTGTTGTTGTTGTTGTTGTTGATGATGATGTTGTTGATGATGATGATGACGATGACCATGGTGACGACGATGACGGTGACGAAAACGGTGACGATGATGATATGATGATGATGATGATGATGATGTGGAGGATGATGATTTTGATGATGACGACGATGTAAATGATAATGATGACGATGGTATTGATGATGACGATGATGATTATGATGATGGTGATGCTGAGAATCGTATTTATGATGGTAATGATGATGATGGTGATGGTGATGGTGATGTTGATGATGATGATGATGAGTGTGACGATGATGGGGTTGATGACGATGATGTTGGTGATGATGATGACGATGAGTGTGTTGATGACGCTGATGATGATGTTGGTGATGATGATGATGCCGATGACAATAACAATGATGATGCTGATGTTGGTGATGGATGCTGAAGGTGAAAATGATAATAGTAATGATGATGATGATGATGATGACGATGATGATGATGATCATGATCATGATCATGATCATGATGATGATGCTGCTGATGATGATGATGATGATCATCATCATCATCATGGTGATGATGATGGTGGTGGTGGTGAAACTCGTTTGGGCCGTCTTGAGGCTCTCGTACGCCGGCTTTGGGGCTCTCCTGGGCCGTCTTGGGGCCCTCTTGGCCGTATGATGGGTGTCTGTGGGCCGTCGTGGAGCCGTCTTGGCGCCGACTTGGGCCGTCGATGGGCCTTCTAAGGTTATCCTGGGTCCCCCGGGAGGCCCTCTTGGGCCGTCTTGGGGCAATCTTGGATGCCCCTTGGTTCATCGTGGGGTCCCCTTGGACCGTCTTGCCCGAAAAGACGAGACTGCGAAAATAAGCCAAAACCGAAGAGGAATCAATGATGTTGACTTCCTCGGACCCTGTTGGAGGTCCTCTTGTGACCCTTTCTGGCCCCCTTGGCGGCATCTTAGGCCGTCTTGAGGCAATATTCGGCCGCCTTGAGCTTGGGCCGTCTTCGAGGCATCTTGGGCCGTCTTGGTGTCCATGTTTGCCCGCGCGGGCCGTCTTGAAAATTCGGAGCGCATACCCTTGCTTTTTGTAACGAGGGATCGTGGCTTGGGAGGCCCTGGAGCGCTTGGGAGCAGCGCCTGGAAATGCGTGAAGTGCACGACCCTCGAGCGGGTGCGCGTGGGATGAAGGGTCCAGGAGTTAGCGGCCATGCGAGAAGCGCACGATCCTCGAGCGGGCGCGCATGGAATGAGGGTTCAGGCGTTAGCTGCCATGCGGGAACACGCGTGGAAGGAGAGCTCAGGCATTAGCTGCCATGCTGGAAGTGCACCATCCTCGAGCGGGCGCGAGGGAAGTGGCCTTGTTGAGTAGGGGGGATGCACGCAGCAGTCTGCGAGCAGAGGGGGAGGGCGGTCCCTTTTTTAATTTACAAAGACCCTACCAGACAGCCCTTGGCATTCTTGTACGCCTCAGCGCGCCAGGGGGCACGGTGGCGGGTTACGCGTTCACTACCGAAGACGCCTACGGCGAGTCACAGCCGCCCCCTTTCCGAAAAGCCCATGCGGCAAATGTTTGGCCGAAGTTTGGCCAAGCTATTAGATTATGTGTTCCTCCAGCAACTGTGGAAACTTGTCGGGGAACACTTGGGAGAGGAGGGGATCGCGGACTTCGTGCTACCTTGCCTCGGATCGATCGTTCGGTGACTCGAGGCCTTTTTGGACCGTCTTGGAGGGGTCACGTCCTCTGGTTGCGAAGTGTTGCGCCGAGAAGGGCCCTTGAAGACAGCCATGCGCCCGCTTTCCCGCCCCTGCCCTCCAGGGCGGCGGCGGCGTCGGGGAGGGCGTGAGCGACGACGACGAGGGCCCTGCCCCGAGCGGCTTCGGGGACGAGCAGGCCGACCAGTCCGCCCACCGCAAGAGGGACATCGAGACGTTCATGACGTTCACCGGCTGCGCCTCCCGGGCCTCAGCGGAGCAGTACCTGCGGCGGGCGAACTGGGACGCCAACCTGGCCATCGGCATGTACATCCCGGACTCGGCGCCCGGCGCCGCCGCCCAGCCGCCCGGCGAGAGCGAGAAGCGACAGAGGGTGCAGCAGGTCCAGCAGCTGACGAAGGCGGGGCCCTCGTCGGCGCGCTGCGGCAGCGGCCTCGGCCTGCCCCGACCCGATGTGCCGACGGCCCCAGACTTCCGAAGAGATGACTTTTTCAATCTGGCGGTCTGTCATCGACCTCGGCCTCCGGGGCCCGTTCTTCACCGAGCGCTTTCCACTACTCGCAAAGTGCCTACTCGCAAACGCCCGAAAAACACATGTCTGCTTCAACGTGGTTTATCGTAGATCCCCCGAGGCGGATCCAGGCCATTGGCGAGCAGCTACTTCGCGGGTAGTGGAACGCTCTAATCTAGCTCTCGGGCCCGGGGGCCATCAGAACTGGATCCGGGACGATACACCACCCCCGGGGGAGGGGTCGGCCCAGACCCCCGACGTCATGCGTTTTTCATGGCGTCGACCCCCAGAGGTCTGGACCCATTCCCCGGGAACGGTTTTTCCTCCTGAGTCTTTTTAGACGGTCCCGAGGCCAAGTAGGGGCCCCCAGAGGCCGAAAGTATGAAAAACCTCCCGTCGTGATTATTTCATGACTCGAAGGGGCTTGGGGGAACCTCTGGGGCCCCGGAGTGAAGAAATCAGATCGGCGGATGTCTCGGGTCCGATGCGGCCCGGTGCCTGCGCGGCGCTGTTGTGCATCCCGGCGCGGCCGGTCCGAGCCGATCTCGGCTCCGTCTTGGCGCAGCCCGTCCGACTCGGACCGAGCTCCCGATCCGATGCGTTGACCCAGACCCCCTTCGAGTCATGACAAAAAATGACGGGAGGTTTTTCGTTATTTTCGGCCTCTTGGTGGGCCCCTACCGGGCCTCGGGACCGTCAAAAAACGGCTCTGGATGAGAAGCCGTTCTCGGGGAGTGGGTCCAGACCTCTGGGGGTCGACGCCAGGAGAAGATCATGACGTCGGGGGTCTGGTGATTGCACCTGCGAAGGCCAGCGAGAGCACCGCCAGGGGCCTGCTGGAGCAGAGCAGCTGGACTTCGGCCTCGCCTGACCCATCCGATCCCCAGCCCCACGGGGCCACTGCGGCTCTCAGCCCCGCTGGCCAACCCTCCCAGGGGGTGGGGATGGGCCCCGCGAAGCCCGCAGGAATGGGCATGGAGAGTCGAGACGCAGAAGGGAGGACCGCACGGGGCCCAGGAGGCGGGTATGGCCAGGACCCCGGGTAAGGGGACCCGGTCAGTGGTAGGGCCCCAGAGCCTTCGAATTGGCCAGAATCATTAAACCAGGTTTGCCATAGCTGGTGCTTTTTGGGGTGACGGCAGTTCCGGTTAGTGGAAATGGGACAGGGGGGCGCCCCCGGTACAAATCACTAAACCAGGCTCCACTGAACCCAGTTCTACCAACGCCCGATAGGAGGGGCTCTGGCTTTCGTGCCGTCCCTCGGGTCCAGGTCGGGGAACCTGCCCGTGGCCAAGGCCCGCCGTAGCCAGAAGAGCCCCATTCGTTTTCTGCTTGGCCTTCCCTATGGCAGCACGACGGCTGTATATCATGCAGTCAGCCCGCACAGCAAGGATGGGCAATGTGAATGTTCCCAAGGATACCTTTGCATCCTTGCCTCCTCGGTCCATCCTTGGTCACTCTCGCTGGCCGCGCCCCTCTCGAAAAGCTTCGAGATGGCCCTCCAAAGCCCTTGCATCCTCATCGCGTATCCTTCTGATACGGGCCGACTGCATCCCCGCCCCGGTGGACTAGGTCGGCCAGTGGGGCTGAGGCCACGCCAACGGGGATACGGACCGTTCAAACGGTTCGGCGGCGAGCCCAGGGTGGGAAGTGAGAGGGGGCAGGTCTTCTCGGAAGTCGGCGCGGCTTCTCAGAAGGCCTCCGAGCCGTCTGTGGCTTCAGAGGCGGCTTGCAGGGCTTCTCAGAAGGCGCGAGGCCGCTTCTCAGAAGGCGCGAGACCGTCCGAGAAGCCCCACCGCCGCTGAGAAGGCCTGCCCGCTCTCGCTTCCCCCCCGGACTCGCCGCCGAACGATGCTCAGGACCGTGGACCTCGCCGTGGAGCGCTTCTTCGAGCGGGAGGGAGCTCGTGGGCGGAAAACATGTCCGCATCCGTGGCCTCGCGGGCCAGGCCCCTGGGCCGCGACCCCGCGGATACGCGGCGTTCTCTGGCGGACGCCCCAACGCGGAACGTCTGCCGTGCGACCACGCATGCGCAGGATCGCACCCCAGCTTAGCTGCCTCGATACGCACGTTTTGATACGCAACACGTACCGCACTCGAGACGTCCGTGCTAATACGTTGCGTGTTGGCTCAAGGTATTGGCCCACGTTTTGGAGAAAGTATTGCGTCTGACCCACGTTTTCAGGATACGTGTTGAACTCCGTATCGATATGCTACGTGTTGCGTGTTGCGTATCGGGGCGGCTGAGCACCCCAGAGTCCGGACCGCGAGGGCGCGGACACGGATCTGTTCGCCGCTCGCGAGGAGCCGCCGGCGCATCGGACAGCTCCTCGAGCTCGGGCAGCTCCTCGTCCTCGGACTCGGACGACGCGCCGGCCGGGCAGAAGGGCGGCGCAGGCGCCCCGGGGTGGCCACGAAGCTGTTGCAGGGGGGCCTGCAGGAGAGCGCATCTCGGCGGCGGGCGAGGGTGGGAAGCGAGAAGGAGAGGGCCTTCTCAGAAGGCGGCGGAGTTTCTCAGAAGGCCTCGGGCCTTCTGAGTGGATGTTCTGTGTCTTCGGGAAGGCTTATAGGAAGCTTGTCAGAAGGCCTGGGAATTTCTGAGCCTTCTGAGAAGGCCCGCGTCTTCTCACTTCCCCCCCGGGCTCTCCGCCGAGGATCACTCCCCACATAATCCGCGACCGGATTTTTTTCGGTCACTGAAGTCGATCGCACCAAAGTTCGGTTGCGACCCGAGGGGGTCGAATTTCGGTAACGAAGAACAGACAGCGAGTCGGGGTCCCAGCGAGGGTTTCGAAGACGTCGACGGCCCGCTCGTTATCATAATTTGCAGGCGGAGAACGGGCTTTGGTCGCGACCGGTTCGTGGTTCGTCGGACATTTTCGGTACCAGATAATTTTGGTCTAGATTCAAGCACGTTTATTTGCATGAGGTTTCGCCCCTCCCACCCCAACCACCCCCCAACCATCCCAAACACACACACACAAACACGCACACACACACACACACACACACACACACACACACACACACGCACGCACGCACGCACGCACGCACGCACGCACGCACGCACGCACACACACACACACACACACACTCACACCGCCACAACCTTTTCAAACAGCGCTGGGCCGAAACGGCGTGCAAGTGCGCCCCGGTTCACGTGAGGCCCCCCCCCTCCATGCAAGGAGACTTGCCTGAGTCCGAAGAGAGCCGGCCTCCCGCCGAGACAGCGGCGGTCATCCCGCTGGGCCCAAATCCTACATCCCCTCGCGTCGGGAAGCAGTCGCGACGGATTCTCTTATTTTCGGCCTCTGAATGCCCACGCTGGGCCCCAGGACCGTGAAAAAACGCCTCGGGGCGTTCTTCGGCCCCGAGGCGGCTCACTCCCGGGAGCCACCTTCTCATCCCGACCTGGATGAACAGTTGGCCCCGGGGAAGGAATCGGAACCTCGTTCTGAACAAGTCACGACGTCCGGGTGTTGGGGATCCGCTCCATTGGGCCCCCGGCCCCCTCCTGGGTTCCGTCCTGACTTGTTTTTCGAGGCAGGTCCATCAGTGGCGCTTTGTGCCCCCCAGAGATCCGACGTTGCCGAAAAATGGCACTGCACCATCGAGGAAATTCTGGACCCCCGGACCCCATTTTCCTAAGTCTTTTTTAGTGCCGGATCGATCTGCGAGGGCCCCAGGCCCCGAAACGAAGCGAAAGCGTCCCAGTCGACAAAATTTCGTTGCCGAGATCTCAGGGCTGGTCTGGCATCATGTTATTGGGGTCTCGAGGCCGTCAACAGAGCAGTCTGGGACGAGGAGCCGGTCCCGGTGTTTGGGAAGTTTCTGTTTCACATGGAGCAGCGATTCTACATTACGCTACCGAGGAACCCCACATACTTATTTTAAACATGATGTGCTTGCTTACCATTATCAAATGTGCCAAACCCTGCGTTTTGAACCCTCGTCGCGAATGTTTCGAGCATTGAGTCCTTGAGCTGCTCGCACGGAGGCGGCAGCGCGGACATGGCACATTTGGGCGCCATGACGGGCGCCGCACCTTTGACGAACAATCACTGGCGCGAGCACGCCTGCGTACAAACCCGAACGGCCTGAGACGGCATGAGCCAAGGAGGCTACAAATGCTTGATGATAACACCACTCACCTCGCTTGCGTTTCCCTGTGCCCTGAGCACGACCAGCACGGATAGCAAGCTTCCGTACCGATGTGTTTTGAGAACTACTGTCACGGATAGCGGCCGCGCTCAAAGACCACCCCGTGGGCACCCCTTGTTGTGTCGGGAATATGCCATGCCTGCTATGCCCTGGACGACCGTCACGGATATCCGGCGCCCTCGGAGACCACCCCCAGCGCACCCCCTATGGTGTCGAGAATATGCCACGCTTGCTATGCCATGGACCACCGTCACGGCTAGCGGCCGCCCCCAGGGACCACCCCGTGCGAACCCCCTATAGTGTCGAGAATATGTCACGCCTGCTACGGCCTGGACCACCGTAACGGATAGCGGCCGCCCTCAGGGACCACCCTTTGCGCACCCCCTATGGTGTGGAGAATATGCCACGCCTGCTATGCCCTGGACGACCGTCACGGATAGCGGCCGCCCTCAGGGACCACCCCCTGCGCACTCTCTCTGGTGTCGAGAATATGCCACGCCTGCTACGGCCTGGACCAGCGTCACGGATAGCGGCCGCCCTCAGGGACCACCCCTTTCGCACCCCGTATGGTGTGGAGAATATGCCACGCCTGCTATGCCCTGGACGACCGTCACGGATAGCGGCCGCCCTCAGGAACCACCCCCTGCGCACCCCCGATGGTGTCGAGAATATGCCACGCCTGCTACGGCCGTCACGGATAGCGGCCGCCCCCAGGGACCACCCCGTGCGCACCCCCTATAGTGTCGAGAATATGCCACGCCTGCTACGGCCTGGACCACCGTCACGGATAACGGCCGCCCCCAGGGACCACCCCGTGCGCACCCCCTATGGTGCCGAGAATATGCCACGCATGCTACAGCCTGGGCCACCGTCACGGATAGCGGCCGCCCTCAGGGACCACCCCTTGCGCACCCCCAGTGGTGTCGAGAATATGCCACGCCTGCTATGCCCTGGACCAGCGTCACGGATAGCGGCCGCCCTCAGGGAGCACCCCCTGCGCACCCCGTATGGTGTGGAGAATATGCCACGCCTGCTACAGCCTGGACCACCGTCACGGATAGCGGCCGCCCTCAGTGACCACCCCTTGCGCACCCCCTATGGTGTCGAGAATATGTCACGCCTGCTATGCCATGGACGACTGTCACGGATAGCGGCCGCCCTCAGGGACCACCCTTTGCGCACCCCGTATGGTGTGGAGAATATTCCACGCCTGCTATGCCCTGGACGACCGTCACGGATAGCGGCCGCCCTCAGGGACCACCCCATGCGCACCCCCGATGGTGTCGAGAATATGCCACGCCTGCTACGGCCTCCGACCCTGGCACGCATAGAGACCGCGCTGAGGAACCACCCCCTGCGCACCCTCACTGGTGTCGAGAAAGTGCCACCCCTGCCACGCTCTCCGACCCTGGCACGCATAGAGACCGCGCTGAGGGACCACCCCCTGCGCACTCTCTCTGGTGTCGAGAAAGTGCCACCCCTGCCACGCTCCCTGACCCTGGCACGCATAGAGACCGCGTTGAGGGACCAGCCCATGCGCATCCTCTCTGGTGTCGAGAAAGTGCCACCCCTGCCACGCTCTCCGACCCTGGCACGCATAGAGACCGCGCTGAGGGACCACCCCCTGCGCACCCTCTCTGGTGTCGAGAAAGTGCCACCCCTGCCACGCTCTCCGACCCTGGCACGCATAGAGACCGCGCTGAGGGACCACCCCCTGCGCACCCTCTCTGGTGTCGAGAAAGTGCCACCCCTGCCACGCTCTCCGACCCTGGCACGCATAGAGACCGCGCTGAGGGACCACCCCCTGCGCACCCTCTCTGGTGTCGAGAAAGTGCCACCCCTGCCACGCTCCCGACCCTGGCACGCATAGAGACCGCGCTGAGGGACCACCCCTGCGCACCCTCTCTGGTGTCGAGAAAGTGCCACCCCTGCCACGCTCTCCGACCCTGGCACGCATAGAGACCGCGCTGAGGGACCACCCCCTGCGCACCCTCTCTGGTGTCGAGAAAGTGCCACCCCTGCCACGCTCTCCGACCCTGGCACGCATAGAGACCGCGCTGAGGGACCACCCCCTGCGCACCCGCGCCGGTGTCGAGAAAGTGCCACCCCTGCCACGCTCTCCGACCCTGGCACGCATAGAGACCGCGCTGAGGGACCACCCCCTGCGCACCCGCGCTGGTGTCGAGAAAGTGCCACCCCTGCCACGCTCCCCGACCCTGGCACGCATAGAGACCGCGCTGAGGGACCTGCCACGCTCCCCGACCCTGGCACGCATAGGGACCGCGGTGAGGGACCACCCCCTGCGCACCCTCTCTGGTGTCGAGAAAGTGCCACCCCTGCCACGCTCTCCGACCCTGGCACGCATAGGGACCGCGGTGAGGGACCACCCCTTGCGCACCCTCTCTGGTGTCAAGAAAGTGCCACCCCTGCCACGCCCTCCGACCCTGGCACGCATAGAGACCGCGCTGAGGGACCACCCCCTGCGCACCCTCTCTGGTGTCGAGAAAGTGCCACCCCTGCCACGCTCTCCGGCCCTGGCACGCATAGAGACCGCGCTGAGGGACCACCCCCTGCGCACCCTCTCTGGTGTCGAGAAAGGCCCACCCTCGCCGCGCTTTCCGACCCTGGCACGCATAGAGACCGCGCTGAGGGACCACCCCCTGCGCACCCTCTCTGGTGTCGGGAAAGTGCCACCCCTGCCACGCTCTCCGACCCTGGCACGTACAGAGACCGCGCTGAGGGACCACCCGCTGCGCACCCTCTCTGGTGTCGAGAAAGTGCCACCCCTGCCGCGCTCTGCCGCGCCGTGCCCTGCGCGCCTGCCCTGCGCGCAACGCTGAGCTGCGCTGTGATGTGCTGTGCGGTGCCGAGCTGAGCTGGGCTGTGTTGAGCTGTGCTGCGCTGCGCTGTGCTGTGCTGCGCTGTGCTGCGTTGAGCTGCGCTGTGCTGTGCTGTGCTGTGTTGCGCTGCGCTGTGCTGTGCTGCGCTGCGCTGCGCGAGGAGGAGAGAGAGGCGAGGCGCGAGCGTCGCGGGCGCGGCGCGGCAAGGAAGAAAACCAGAACCCCACGAAGCACGCGGGGAACAATTGCAATCAGAATTGTTCGGGGGTGATCCCGAAAACCTGCAGCCTTTTGTTCGACTCGAGAAAATGAGCCCCCCCCCCCCCCCCTTCCTCCACTGCCACGGGGGGAGGGGGGCTCGAGCATGGTAGCGGAGGTCGCCCGGTCGCGGGCCGC